CTGGTTTACATCTTAAGGCTGAAGGTCCTCACCTTCTGCCATTTATCTTTGGGAGTGCAGGGGAATTGCTGCTGCCTGGTTTGCTCCCAAGGGCAGCCTGCAGGCCACCTGCACGGGCACATCTCCAGCGGCAGCAGCCTGTGGGCTTTCCACAAGGGTCGAGAGGGACATCTGGGGAAGGGGGGCTGTGGGTGGGTGCCGGTGGGGTGACCGGATAGGGCAAGGTGTGGACGCTGGCAGCAGGGGAAGCCAGAGGCATGAAGGAGTGCAATGGATTTTCTGTTGTCAATGGTACCACGTGTAGCTGGGTGTGGTGCACACCGAGGGCGGTTTTGTGGAAGGCGAGAATAAAAAGCTGGGACTCTTTGAGAACTACGTCGACATCTTCAGAGGGATCCCCTTTGCTGCCCCTCCAAAGACCCTGGAAGACCCCCAACCTCATCCTGGCTGGGATGGTAAGATCCAGCTTTTGAATGCCTTTGGTTTTGGGGCTTTATTTTCGCTTCTCGCTCCTTAGTCCATAACTGACAAGGCAAAGATGTTGTTGCCAACTTTCATCTACTAAGCAGTGCCAAGAAAAAGCTCTTGGTCTCATGGTGGGTAGGAGAGTCTGTGTCTGAGTGTTCCCAAGCAACTCAAGTAACCACATGAAGTAACAAAACCGAAGCATGGTGCCTGCATCTCCCCTCGCCATGCCTCGGCTGTCCAGAGCGCGTTCACGTGGGAAAGGATCCCACTCTGTCACTCCCTGAGAGCGGTCACAGGAGCAGGGGAGGCTTTGCTGCCTCTGCACTGGACTCGCAGAGGAGGAGATGGATGGGCAGAGAGCTTGCAACCAAAGGATGGGGTTGATGCTTCTAAGTAGGACCTGTTGTCTGCCTTCTCTCCTCTCAGGAACGCTGCAGGCAAAAAAATTCAAAAATCGCTGCCTGCAGATGACGCTTGCACAAACTGATGTCCGCGGGAGCGAGGACTGTCTCTATCTGAACATCTGGGTCCCTCAAGGGAGGAGAGATGGTATGTACTTGGCAGAGACCTGAGGAGGAGATTCTCAGTTGCCTTTTGTGGACAAATTGCTCTGGAGCATCTCTCGGCAGCTATGTTCCCATAGTGGGCAACTGCAGGAGCGCTGATTTTCAGAGGGAAAGGTGGGAGCCACGTCAGCCAATGTCCCCGAGCTGCAGGCTGTTGGGAGATTCAGCCTGTTCTACCAAGCGTGGACTTTCTTGGCTGTAGGCTATTGCAAAGCATCGTGTCCGTTCGTGCCCAGGGGGAGCGATGCTCAGCGAGTGGGTATGGGGATGGATGGGCAGCACCTTGTGGCCATGCTGTGGCTCACACTGCTTTTCTTCCCCATCTCCCAGTCTCTACCAACCTGCCAGTGATGATCTGGATCTACGGCGGCGGCTTCCTTGTAGGAGGGAGCCAGGGAGCCAACTTCCTCAATAACTACCTCTACGATGGCGAGGAGATCGCCGTGCGGGGCAACGTGATCGTGGTGACCGTCGGCTACCGCGTGGGGCCCCTGGGCTTTCTGAGCACCGGAGATGCAAACTTGCCAGGTATCGAGGCTGCTGCCTCTTCAGGGGACCCTGTCACGGGTCTCCAGCTTATCGGCTTTGCCGTGCCCTTGCTCAATGGTGGGTGCTCTGTGTTGCTCAGGGAACTATGGGCTCAAGGACCAGCACATGGCTATTGCCTGGGTGAAGAGGAATATCAAGGCCTTTGGGGGTGACCCAGATAACATCACCATCTTTGGGGAATCAGCCGGTGCTGCCAGTGTCTCCCTGCAGGTGCGTTGTCCTTGTCGGACCCCACCAGAGCCACTTCTCTTCCCCATAAACGGCAGAGGTGGTCCCCTTGGCACTCCACCGCTTTCCTCCGCACACACCGCCTGATTAAGGTCCTCTCCCGCCCGGGGCCAGCAATGCTCAGCCTCTCTGCTTTGTAGCCGCTCCTCCTTCTTTGGTTTGATCTGCCCCACCTTGCTTTTGGGACTTCTGGTGAAATAGCATTTACTTGCCATGTCTCCCTATTCTGCTCCTCTTCTCTCCTCTTCTCACCATGTCACCTTTTAACTTTAACTGCTGAAACTGTTAAATAGGATGAGAGCTGTCAGCTTCCCCGGGCCTGGCGCACAAGCTGCAAGGGGATCGTCTGGGCGTGGCCGGCAATGGCCTCTTCAGGATTTTGTACCTGAACCCCCCTGGTTTCTATTTTGCACCACAGACGTTGTCCCCAAAGAGCAAAGGCCTGTTCAAGAGAGCCATCAGCCAGAGCGGCGTGGGTCTGTGCAGCTGGGCCATCCAGAAGGACCCGCTCGCCTGGGCTAAAAAGGTAACGTGCGAGTCTTGCTTGAGGGAATGGAAACGCAAAAAAGGGGTTCCCTAGAGAAGAGCGTAACTAACAAGGCCATCAGCAGGAGCCACGCTAGCAAACACAGAGCTTTGGAAACACGCTGCTTTGAGATGAAAACCAAGCTCTGCTTCTGTGAAGCTGGTGATGAAGCCTGGCTTCAGAGGGTAATGCTGAGAGCTTTCTCTCTCTCGTCCTGCAGCTTGGACAAAAAGTGGGCTGCCCTATAGACAACACCACCGCCTTGGCCACCTGCCTGCGCGTCTCCAACCCCAAAGCTTTGACGCTGGCCTACCACCTGCAGCTGATCAACCTGCCCAGTAAGTCCCCTGGGCCGTG